AGTCAGCTCCTGCCTGGTCAGAAACAGCTGCTCCTGCTGAGACTTTACCTTCCGCTCCAATTCATCCACCTGGGAAGCAGGCAACACTAGAGGGAGCTTCACCCAGCCCTGCTAAACTACCCTGGGCTCTTGGGGTGGCTGGCTCTGTCCCCCTTTGGCCACACCCCTCATACCTGGCTTCTAAGCAGCAGGTTCTTTTCATTGGCAGCAGACAGGTCCCTGAGGAGCTTAGACTCCCGATCCACAGCCTCCTGGGTGAGAAGGGCAGGGTGACAGATGCTTCCCATTGGGCTGTTACCGTGTACTCCATCGGGCTCCTAGTCCACACAGCCCAGCTCCTACCTGCTGCTCCAGCTTGCGCTCCTTCTCCTGTCTCTGTGACAGGCTCTGCCGTTCCTGTTCCGCTGTGGTCAGTAGTTCCCCCAGGTCCTGGGCCTTCTGCTCTGACAGAGCCAGAGCAGCCTCTGTCATCTGTAGCCTACAAAGAGGAAGACCAGCCCCAGGCCAGCTCCAGCAAGAATGTCACCTGCTTGGCAAAGGTCTTCTGTTCTCACTCCTACCAAGCCTCTACTCAAACCCCAGGAAGCATCTGTCCCCTCCTCTGCCTTGTGGGCATGGCTGTAAGTCTCTAAGGTGCGTGAAGGCTGCTCTCCTCTGCCTTACTTGGCTTTGAGGGCATTGATGATGGACTGTCTCTCGTTGAGGGCTTCCTGAAGCTGCCCAACTCGTACTGCTGATGCCCTGTGGAGAGAGAGGTGGTTCTGGGAAGTCCAAACCCCACAGCCCCTGGCGTCTCCCAGCCTGGCAGCAGCTGTTGAACTCTGCACATTCATGTCTATAACATGCCCAGTGCACTGGGCACAGAGCCCAGCAGTCCACAGATGCCACTAACTGCCAGCCCACTTGCTTGGAAGCAATGACCTTGTTTTCAGCCTTGGTCATACTCAAACCAGACGCCAGGCACGGAGACGCAGTTAAGCTATGGTCCTTCCTGCAGCCGCAGGGCTCACTCACCTGCTGTTTCTGGCCATCTCGTCTCGTTGCTTATCAATTGTCTCCATCAAATCCAGAAACTGGAGACAAAGTCAGTCAAAACACCATTAGAAGCAGAGCCTACCCTGGTCAGGGACAGGAGTGCAGACTCCCGTCAACAGTGTCAGGCTGCAAAGGACATCTTGACCCCACTGTCTCATTCAAAAGGAGGTGGACTGACAGGGGGAGGCCTGGAGGGAAGGAGGAGGCAGATCGGCTGAGCTGGGAGCAGTCCAGGGCCAGTGAGGGCACTACGCTCACCTGCTTGGACTTCTCTTCCTGGAGGTGCTGAACCTCCTTGTTAAGGATGTTGGTGCGGGCTTGGTTCTCCCGAAAGGCAGTGAGCCGGTCCTGGTTGTGGTTCATGGCTTGTTCTGTCAGAAAGAGCCATGTTGTCCTGGGCTCAACATCAGGGCAATGGCTAACCCAGGCCTGTGCTGCCTGTGTCTGGAAGTTGGTCACCTGAGAGCCCGCCCTACGCAAGGCAAATCAGACATCCCCATCCAGTGCACCCGGGTGAAGCACTTCAGTGGAGGACAGGACTGGGTGATGCAGGACCTTGAGACAGGAACTCTCTTGTACATATAGGGAAGCTGCTGTACTACCCCCAAAGGTGGGTGCTTCCTGGAGTGCTTTCTGGCTTCCCCAACAAAGGTCAGGGGGTATATGACTTTAAGACTGACAGCATGTAAGCCAGATATGGTACTGCATGCCAGAGATCCCTGAACTTAGGCCACTGAGGCAGGGGGATTATGAGAGGTCAGAGCCAGCCTGAGTCACACAGCAAGACTGCCTTTTACACACACAAAGATCAAACATAAAGCAATTATAAGGCCTATGCCCACACAGATGCAGGGCTGGGAACAAGAAGGCACCGGAGATGGCAGAAGAGTCAGGCACAGCCAGCAGCCGGTGATGATGTTGTGGCAGGGAATATGGAGTCTGGGAACCAGGACTCCAGTGCGGATAGTTCAGACTTTGGTGGGTGATACCATGTGACAAACTACTGAGCCTGAGATATCATCTATAAGGACTCAGATGAAGGTGAATTCTGACAGAAGTCAGCACAAGCCTGCCACCCCCACTCACATTCACCAGCAGACACAGACTCAGGGGTAGCTGGGGGGGAAGATACCAGGAAGCCTCCCTAGCTGAGGTGCAGGCCATCCGATGGCTGTCAGAGCAAAGGCTTTAAGTCACAGGCTTTAGCTTCTTGCCTATGAAACCAGCATCCCCTGACTACACAGGTGCTAAGATGTGTGAGTATCTGAGAGAAGCCTGGTATAAGCTGCTTCCCCCTTGACCGAGGCTAGCTACTCATATGGGGGGGGGGCGTGTCTTGAGCCCTGAGCCACACCCTTCTATGGTGGATGGGCTTCTGTTAAAAGGCTTCATGCCTTACTCCAACTTCTAAGAAGGTAGCAGCCCTGAGCGCCCATACCCACAGCTCTCAGGACATCACCAGGGATGTTGTTCCCAGCCAAGTCCAGCCTCCACAGGGTTCTGTTGCTGGGGAGACAGTTCACCAGGGCCCGGCCCCCCAGGAGGCCAATGTTATTCCAGCGCAGATCTGGAAGGAAACCTATTGTTACTGGGTTGGATGGGAGGTACTGGCCCAGCCCAGGATGCTTCTTTTGATGCTTTACTGCCTGTGGCTGCCAATATAGCCAGGAGCCCAGGCCAACCTCTTCAGCAGCAGAGGGAAAGGGTGCAATTTAATACAGCCCGATGTACCAGGTCTCATGGGGGCACAGCAGAATTCAGGAGACCTCACCCAGCTGCTGGAGGGTGGTGTTGCCCTTGAGGGCCAGGGCCAGTTCCTCTGCTCCCTTGTGACTGATCTGGTTGTTTCGGAGATCCAGCTGCCGCAGGGTGCTATTGGCTGCTACACCCCCACAGAAGGTGGCAAAGGCGTCTTCCCACATGCCCAGGTTGTTCCACTCCAGCGTGAGACTACAGGAAGAATGGACACAGGTTCTTGGCTCAACAGAACACTTGGGTCCAGGGCTCCCCACTCGTGGGTGAGGAACAGGGAGAAGTGGTGTTAAGTGAGCTGGCTGCAGGACTGTATCCTCTGGGCCAACCCTAAGATGCAGAGAGTAATAGGTGAGGCCTGGATGGAGTCCTACCTCTGAATGGACTTGTTCTGCCGAAGGAGCTTTCCCAGAGCCTCGGCTCCTGTAGCTCGGAGGTTGTTGCCCTAGAAAAGGAACACCCTGGCCAGTCATTCTTGTTACCTTGGCTCCAAATACCACATCTCTGCCCCACAGACTCAGGCAGTGCAAAAGGCTAGGAGGTGGCTCTGGGCGAAGGCTGCCAGATCCTAGTTTTCCTGACAGTAGCAGCACCACAGTGCTCAGTCCCTTGGAGTTTATGTGAACACTGTTGAGTCGGGCATGTAGAGCATGCTCAAAACCACACTCCCGATACCCGTGGGATCCTCAGAGAGCAGTCCTAAGGCCTTGGGTATTGGGAACTCTTACAGACAGTCTCTAGCCACTATCAAGACCCCAGGTCCCCGGGTCTGTCTCTTTCCACTGCCGAGGGTAGAGGCCTGCTCACCTTTAGATCCAGACGCTGCACAGTGGTGTTGGCACACAGCCCTTGGAACAGCAGCGTGGACCCTGTGTAAAGGTAGTTGGAGAAGAGGGGCGTCTGTCCTACTGAGGCCATTGTTTTGGCTTCACTGTAGGAATGAATTTCCCCCTTGCTGTGAGGTCATGTTAGAAACATGTGAGTCTGCCAGGCCTAACCTTTCTTGAGTCAGCATGGGGAACTGTGAAAGCCAGAGACATTAAGGTTTCTCTATTACAGTGACATTGACCTCTACTCCCAGGTTTTGGAAAAGAATGCTAAAGAACACAAAGAGAGGAGAAAACAGAGGGGCGGTGGGTGGGGGAGCAGGGAATGCACTGACTTCCCTGCTTACAGCTACCCAGGCCAAACATAATCAGGACCCCCGCCCTTAGGCCAGCCAGGAGGCAAAGGGCTTGAGCCCCACTCAGAAGTTTCAGGTGCTGTTCCGAGGCCAGTGGCCTCACCTTCCTCACTGAGCATGCAGTCGCTGAGGACAAGCTCCTTCAACATCGTCTCATCATGCAGCAGCTTGCCAAGCGCCCTGCAGGTGTCCACCGTCAGGCTCTGAGTAGCCAGGTCCAGTCGGCCCCGCGGAAGTTGGTGCAGTTGCTGCAGGACAGCCTCCTGGGGCTCAGCCCCGCTCTCCTTGCACAGGCGGCTGTAGGAGCGCCGGAACTCCTCCATATCTCCGAATGCTGACAGGGCCTTGCAAGCATGCCCCTAAAAACAGGCTGCATGTAAGCTTGCTAGGCCGATGGCTGGGAGCCCCTTTTCCTAGAGAGCGTACACGGGGGCGTTGAGCTGAGCTGGCCCTGTAAGGGGAGGCCTAGAAATTGGAAATAGAAAGGAGGTCAGAACCGCTCGAGGAAGGGGTTTGGTGATAGGGACAGCTGGAGCGCAGAGCACTGGCCGAGGAGAGCAGGTAGGCGCGTTGCACATACCCTGGTCTGGCCCTACGGCCTCTAGCCCGCCCTCGCGACGTGGCCTCTGGTCGCTGATGCTCTGCTCTGGACGCCGTGCCGCGCGCCTCAGTATCCAGGAAGAGCGTGGAGCTCCGGGATGGAAGATAGGAACTACAACTCCCATGAGGCATTGCGGAAGAGGTGCTCTCGGTAGACCAATGAGAGCGAAGGGCGGGCTTGCGCTGGTTCTCAAGCCACAGGAACTGAAGCAGGGCGCTCCGACTCATTGGTTGGCAACTCAGGGAAGATGCTTGGGGAAGAGGGAGGATAGATGATTGGCTATTGGTCTTGAAGGCGGGACTTCATGGACGCGCTCCACGTTCATTGGTTGGGATGTGGGAGGGTTCCGGAGAGCGCGCACTGAGACTGTGGCCATGGAGGAGGAAACCAGCGGCTTCCGGAAGGTGAGGCCCCTGGGAGTGGTACCAGTTTAGCTTTGGGCATTGCTGATCCCCGCGTGACACTTGTGCAGACTCGACGTCAGCCTTATCGCTGTGTTCCAGTGCTTTGGTGGGGGTCCAGCAGCCGGGTGGACCTGGGCAGAGCAGCCCGAGCGCTCTGCGGCTGGACAGCGCCGCCCGCAGATCCAGGCTGGTGACCAGGAGTCTTCCCAGGAGGGACCACAGGGCCTTTCCCACCGGGCCGATGAGGGTGCGTAGGGCACACCGATGCGAGCCTCCACTGTTTGGGCCAGCGTCATTTCTCAGTGACAAGCAGATATGCAAGGACTCGCCCATCTGCTGGGGGAAACTAAAGCGGAGGTGTTCCGTTCCATGAGTGGTGCGTGAGGTTAGGAGTCGGCTTTTTGTATCAGGCCGGTGCGCGCCCTGTGCGGAGTTCGGGCTGGCTTCCACACTCCGCTCAGGACTTGAGTTGTTTTGGGGGCTTTGGACAAAATCGGGCTTGCCATCATTCATTGGACTACAGTGACCGAGCTGTCCCAGGAGAGAGTGAGGAAAGGAGGGACCTGTATCCCAGACTGTGGACGAGGAACAGGAGCTTGATGTATCACAGGCTTTTCCCTAATCCTCCCCTCCAGCAGTCACATCCACTCGTTCACTGACTGGCCTGTGGAGCTGTGGTGCCGTCCTGTACGCTAGCTTGCTCTCCGCAGCTGGGACCTGTGGAGCCTTTTCTGTTACCTCTGGTAGTGTGCCGGGGAAAAGACCAGCAGATGGCGCTGTTCTCGCGAATTTATACATGGTCCCTCCAGACAAGTTCACCTGCGCCTTAGACTCATTATGTCCATTCGCACCTGTGTCCCTCTGCGACGAATGGAGTCATGGCCTCCATGTGACTGATGCTCGTGAACCCAAATTCACCTTCCTCTGTAGGCCACCCACTTCTAGGGTTCTGGGTGTTGCTGCCAACCTATTGCCTCTTTCCAGCCATTCCCCATTCTGTTCTGCACTTGGTAAACTTGAGTGGTCTGCTGGCTTCACAAATTGCAGATTCTCAGGGGTTCTTCGTGTCTCACTTTGGGTGTCCCCACTGAATTCTTTTTTTTTTTTTTTTTTTTTTTTTTTTTGGTTTTTCGAGACAGGGTTTCTCTGCATAGCTTTGCGCCTTTCCTGGAGCTCACTTGGTAGCCCAGGCTGGCCTCGAACTCACAGAGATCCGCCTGGCTCTGCCTCCCGAGTGCTGGGATTAAAGGCGTGCGCCACCACCGCCCGGCTCCACTGAATTCTTAAGTCTGTGGATTCTCACCCTCATCCCCATCTCACATTGCCACCAACCTTTCAGGGTTTCAAACCATCCCTGAAACTTGGCCAATCCGCTGCCACCACCACCAGTACTCATATTGCATCATTACAGCTAGGTCTCTCTTCATTCACAGCTAGAAATGACTTCCAACTACTTGCCAAAGGAAGCTCAAGGGTTCTCGGGTATCTGTCCAGCTACCCATCCCTCCAGCCACAGCTACTGTGTCTGTCTGCGCAGCAGTAATCCAACCTAGGTAGTGTTGACAGTCAAGGCTGCCAAAGGGGTCAGATTTCCTCAAAGCTGCCACGGCCGATTTTAGGAGCATGTGCCTCCATCCCCCTGGATCTGATAGAGTATCATCTATACCAGGAATGATGTTCCTGGACTTGTCTCCATCTCTTGTGCTCCCTTGTCCCTACAGTCAAGTCTCTCAAGCCCTTCCCAACAGCCCCTATGACATTCTCCCTCAAAGCACAGCTGGCCTCATCCCCTCAACCTGGGAAGAGGCGCTAGGATGGCACTGTTTCTAGCTGAAAGTTACAGCCATGCTTCATCCAGAACTGAGACTTGGGGGACCTGTTGGGAATGGTACTGACTCCCTGCCCTTCCTCCAGGAGCTGGTGAGCAGACTGCTGCATCTGCACTTCAGGGATTGCAAGACTAAAGGTTTGGGGCACTAGTGGAGTGGGGAAGAATGTGGGCCCAGGGAGGGAGGGAGGGAGGCTGTCCCATAACCCACCCTTTCCCTCCAGTCAGTGGGGATGCACTGCAGCTCATGGCGGAGCTCCTGAGGATCTTCGTAATAGGTGAGCCAAGGGCCCTCGCAGCACCAGTAGACAAACTAAGAGGTTTTTCTCAGCTACTGCCAACCCTAGGTCCTGTCCCTGAAAAACTTACCCAAGAGCCATCTAGGCCCCCTCTGAGGGCTCACAGTAGGTGCAGAGGAGGCCTAATAAGGGCAGGGCTAAAGCTGCCCTGCTTCTCCCAGCTCACTTCAGTGTTTCTCCAGAAGCTGCTGTCCGTGGGGTGTGGCAGGCCCAGTCAGAGGACCTAGATGTTGTCAACGTGGATCAGCTGGAGAAGGTGCTTCCTCAGCTGGTACGTGGGGTGCAGGTGGGGCAGCCCTCGACTCCAGAGTGGTGCCTGTGTGATCACTTTGAGCACACCTCTCTTCCATAGCTGCTGGACTTCTAGAGATCGCACCTGTGTCCTGCCAAGTCTCGGATGAATTCACATCAGCACTGACATCCAGAACCAAGTTCTCCAGCTTCCAGAGGATGGGAAGATCCCGGCAGCTGTTACCCTCCCTAGCTATTGCCTCTGGGGTCCTTGTGAGACAGGTGCAGGGAAAGGTGGACCAGCCTGCCCACAGCCACAGCCACCCCCCCCCCAGCCCTTCACTGTAAACAAACCAGCCGCTGGCAGTGCCGCCTTCTTGCCACCTACATCAAAGCTTCTGTGCAGCTTTGTAACCACCTGACCCCCACCCCCAGGATGCCTCCCTGAGCTGTAAATTTGTTCTTACAAAGCAACATCAATAAATCAACACCATCTCTCTGAGGCTTGGCCTTCGTGTCTCCATTAATCACCTGAAGTCTAGTTGCTTCAAAGCCTGAGCCCCATGCTCCCTTCCGCCCATCTCAGTGGGACTCTCAGCAGAACTCTCAGAAAGGACAGGACAACAAACAGCATGTGTGCACATGCTGCAGTAAAACTGGAGCCTTCACACACGTGGCTGGCTCACTTGGAAAGTGTTACTCCTGCCACAGGCCACAGCAACTGCCACCAGTAGGCAGTGGGGTCCAGGAATGTTTCTGTGAACCAGTAACGGTTCACTGGTGGAGGCAGAACCAGGATACACAAGGTGAGAAGACTGGAGATCTCTCTTCAGCAGAAAGGGCCCGTAGGCTGTGACCATGTGACCATGCCGAACTGCAGAAAGGCTCTCCTTTAGCCCTGACCTGCCCAATTGCAGTCCGGGTATAGGTAAGGGACAGGCTGTGCCCTCAGAGAGGTGGAGCTGAGAGGCCGCCCTGGAAGCCCAGTCCAGGCTTGAGCCCTCTGATGATCAGGAACTGGAAGGCCAGTTCTCAGGAGACATGCGGGGTATCCTGCTAACCCCTATACATAGTGCCCCCTTAGGTCTTGGGGAGGCACTTAAAAAGGTCCTCTGACGTCAGTCCAATGTGGGGGACACCATGGAGCACCCAAGAGTTAGGAGACACAGTTACCCAGGACCACAGCCCAGAATTGAGAGCCACATCAGTGGTAGAGGTGGGAGCGGGAGGTCAAGTAGGAAAAGCATGGAATATGGAGGGACAACAGCTATTCTCACAGGGCCCAGAATAGACTTGAGGGCAACCTCTGAAGGCAATGGTTAGACTGGATGTAGCTGGATGGACAGTTGCTCTAAGTGCCTGCAACCCCCATATACACACACAGTAGGTTTCTAGGTCCCAAGCACTGGGGAGCCAGTGGGAGATGGGAGACATTCAGGAAGGAGCTGGTTAGGGGGACACAGAGCCCCAACCAGCTCTAGTGCTGGAACTGGACCACATTCCCACTGAAGGCATATAGAAAAGGCTATCAGAATACCCTAGGCCAGGCACAGCCAAAGGTAGCTTTGTGGTTAAGTGCCTGCTTCCTCCTCCCTGGTTGTATGCCAGAAGCTTGGAATGGCCCCAGGTTGTAGGTAATTTGCCAAGGAGGCTTCCTCCTACACTTCTGTTCATTCAGTAAAGAGGCTAATGAGGTCAGATATAAATGAAGAGGAAGCTGGCCTACCCAGGGTTCTGGCCTTCTCAAGACCTTCACAGATACCTCAGCTTTTTTTTTTTTTAATAGGAACACCCTGTGGTACAGCCAAACTCCCAGGGGTCCACTGGGTAGCAGTGGATAAGACTAAGCTGGATGGAGGCCTAAGGGCCCTTTCTGCAGAAAAGAGAAGCGGAGGCCTTGAGAGAAGCGCGAGTCTTTATTCCTGCTCGGGGTGGGTGGGGGTGGGATCCTGTGGCTGATGACGGGCATCTCCAGGCTGGTAGCTCTCACCTCTTGCTGGCTGTGACACAAACACCAGAATGACCACATGCTCCTGGGTTGCTGCCCAGCCACCCTGCCCTACCCAGTTAGTTCATGACAGGCAGGCACCTGGCAGCTTCAGCCACTTGGGCACTTTGCCCAGGCTTCTCCTCACAGGCTGGATTGTCCCTTGAACGGGCTCTGGGGGCCCCAGTGCCCCCTCCTCAGTGATTGGCTCAGACTCCAGGGACACAGGGTCAGGGGCTGGCAGCAGAGGTGGGGACCCGGTGGCCCGGGACATACACCTAGGGGTGAGAGGCCAAGGCCAGGTGGTGGGCACAGTCTTGGAGGAGCTCCCAACCCCTCAGGAACTTACCTGGCCACCAGCACGTCAGCCGTCGATGGGGAGACGGTGTGTTCTAGAAGTCCAGGTTCCAGGTAGAGACCTTCAGAAGCCAGAGCCCACCCTCAGCCACAGAAGAGACGGACACTCCACCCACACACTCCAAGTGGGGACAGCGAGCCCAGTGCCCCAGGGAGGTGGGCACTGGGCTGCAGATCCTCCAAGCCCACAGGACCTCTGAGTGAACCCCTTCTAAGGAATCCTGCTTTGGGCATCAGGGAACTGGGATTCAGGGTGAGCCCTAGTGGCAGGGGTCAGAAGTGAGGCCTCACTCACCTGTTGTTTCTTCAGCTCCAAAGTGCACAAGGGCCGCAGGGAAGAGGTTTGCCTGAAAGGAAGGCAGGGGTGGGGGTGGGGGGCTCAGAGGGCCAGACCGGCAGTGCTCAGCAGGCTCCCAAAGATGATTCCATCCCTCCCTCTGGTGCTCTACCCTCATGGACCACAGGATAGCAAAGCACCAGTTAGGAGCCCCACTTTTCATTTGTGTGAACTATGGTGTCCTCCTTCATGATCCACTGCCCAGCTGCAGTACCAGTGAATTTTCCGTCAGTCTGGAAGCTCACAGTGCACTTGAGTTTATGACTCAGGTACACCTTGCTGAGGGGGTCAGAGGAGACACAGGGCTGTTGAGTAGGACTCTGGGTCTGCCAGCCTGACACTGTCTAGGAACACAAGTAGGAGGGGAGACCTGTGTCGCTGCCCCATTGACATACAACTCATGCCACCCCCTACCCCGATTATGCCCCAAAAATAAGAGTGAGGAACTATGTATGGGCTGGGGCATCTCTACAGTTAGGAATGTACCCAGAGCCACTGGGAGACAGGAGTGCCCTAGCAGAACAGGCCCAGGCACGAGGCAAGGGCTGGCTCCCCAAATCAAGCTGCTTTAGAGAAGTGAGAAGCTGAAAGATGCTTCCTTGTAAGATACACTGGCCCAGGCAGGGTTGTCACCACTGCACTAAGTAGGAAACTGGAGCCAGGACCAGCCCAAGCTCCTCCTATCCCACCCAAACAAGGAGAGCTAGTGCTTTGAAAACCCAATTGAGTGCCTGGGATCAAAGCCTCCTTAACCACATCTATCCTAAGGGGGTGGAAGGTATGAGGTTTCTATCCAGGGGACTGGCCCTACTTTCTCGGGCACAGGTGTGGGGTGGGAGCAAGAAGTAGACAGGGCTGCTTCCATTGACACCCTTGGACACAAGGCTCTGAGGCCTCCTTAACAGGGTATGTGACAATACTAGCCCTGAGAGGCCCTAGTATCACACATGAGAATGTTTTCCTTTTTTTCAGTCTCTGTGCCCAACGGGGAGGGGGGGGGGTTAGGGCTGGGGCTGGCTGACGTGGCCAAAGACTCAGGGCAGCCAGGAGCCTGGCAGGACCTGAGAAGGGGCTGCAGCTGCAGGCTGAGGGCATTCTTTCCATGCGGCTCCAGGCTCCTGTGAGTGCCACAGGCTGGAGGGGTGGGCGGGGTGGGTGGGGTTGGGGGATGTTAAAAGATTAATAAGAGCAAGCTTCAAAGGCCAGGCCTAGGAACGCTGAAACCTCAGCCTGCAGCCGGCCGCAGAGGGACACAAACAAGGGCGGTGAACGCTTTGAAACGCAACTGTGAGGTCTGCGATCAAAGCACCATGAGAGGAGGCCTGTGGGGTGGGCGGGGGGCTGCCCTAGTGCCCCTGGGAAGGCGCCAGAAGGAAGCCAGGGATCCAAGCAGGGGGCATGGGGAGGACAGTGTTAGAACCTTCCTCAGCCCAGAATGGCTGGCTCTATCTCCCACCAAGGTAGCTCTGCAGTGGCCAGGGCCACCTTCTAGACTCACTGCTGTAACTGAGTGGCGTTCCCAGGCACACTATGACCGGCACACCCACAGGACCTTATCTGTTTTCTGCCACCACAGTCGAGGGGGCTCCCTTGGACATGACTGAGGAGGCAGTGCCACGTGGCAGCGCCAAGGCTGGACCCTGACCCGACAGTGCTTGGGAAGCTCAACGAGGGCCAGGGAGAACCCAGAACACCAAGAGAGGAAAGGCCAGCTGTGGGCTCTGTCCCCACACTGCCCACACCCAGCCCTAGAAAGGGAAAGGTGAGGGCAGTGGACTTGTTGACATCAAGGCTAATCAGTTTTCAGAGGAGGCTGGGCCTTCACATAAACCCTAGTGGACCTCTCCCTGCAGCTTGGTCCCCTGTGACAGTGTGAGCGTCTGTCCTCTCCAGGACCACAGACAGGAACAGCCACCACTTTGGTTCATAACCAAAAGCAAGGCTGCCTGCCACCTTCCTCTTTCTCTCCAGGACCAAAAACCCTTGGGGGTTTTGCCTGACCACACACCAGCCATTGCCAGGATCAAGCCTGTTCGAGGGAGGAAGCAGCAGGAGAGTGGCCTGAACTCCAATGATAGGGACAGGGAAATCCCTGGTTGGGGGACTCACTGGTTCCCTCACAGGCTGGGTCTCAGCTGACTCAGCTGGAGGTACAAGGAGTCCTCTGGGCCTTGCTCAGTTCTGTCAGCAGCCGAGTCTAGGGCCTGCCTCACTGCTCGCCTCTTCCTCTTTCTCTTTCTGAACTTGCAGAATGGATACCCTCCAGCCTGGGGCAGGAATTCAGGAGAGCATGGGGAGGGAGTCCTCTCCCACAAGGGGGCTCTCTAGGACCCTAGGACCAGCTCCTAGGTGAACTCATCCTCTTTGTTACCCATCAGTGCCTGCCCAAAACTGAAACCCTTGTCCATTTGCTTGGGTTTCTGGGGTCCCAATGGAACAAGGGGCAAGTGGACAGAAGACCATCCCAACCAACAAATGGGATTCCACCCTCTGCTCACTCCACAGTCCCCCATGGGCCACTCTGCCCCACACTGGAACTTAACACTGACCAGGACTCCAACCAAGCTCTAATCCATTCTCTCTATCCCCAACACAAACACAAACACACACACACACACACACAGAGAAGCAGTGGGACAGACTTGATCACCTGACCACAAGTTTCAAGCTACAACCCTCCCCCTAGACTCCCAGGACTACAGAGAGCTTCGGGAAAGGGATGAGGGTAGCAAATGACCAGCAGTTTCCAGCATACACCAGAAGGCAAGAAAGGCCAGACCTCTCCAAGCTTCAGACAGTACAGAAGGCCAGGTGGGGCTGG